AGACATGTTGGAGGCAGGAGAGCTAAGAGTGGCACTCAGTCTGAGGCAGGCCTACATTCTGAGGTCCTGTCTAAAACAACAAAGTTGACTAAATCAGTGGCTTTTCCAATGTTCTGGAATATGTGAATGAATTGTGAGGGCCTCTGGACCTAGCCAACCAAGTAAAACCGTTTTCCTGCTTCCAGGACAATTATGGGCAGAAGGATCCAGACAAGGTGGCGCAGGTAAAAGCACTGTATGAAGCACTCGATCTGCCGGCGGTGTTCTTGAAGTATGAGGAAGACAGTTACAGCCGCCTCAAGAGCCTCATAGAACAGTACTCTGCGCCCCTGCCCCAAGCCATATTCTTGGAACTAGCAAAAAAGATCTACAAGCGGAAAAAGTGACCTCGAGATTGCAAAGGCTCGGAGGGGAGGGATCTTAATAAATTATTGTACAACATCCTGTGGTTTTATACTTTCGCCAGTCAGGAATCTGACCTTGTCTAGAATGGAGGGGTGGGAGGTGTCAACTTGCAGGCCAGGTTGGCATCAGCATTTGCCAATACCCAAAGCTGCTGCATTCTACATCGGTGACGTAGATGCAGCATCAAACTCAGTGTGGGGGTTGAGGGCGGGCCTGAGCTATGCCACGCCCATTCATGGAGGGGTGCGGCTGCGCAGCCACAGTGGGTTTTGCCGGCGCCCCTCCCCTCTGCCCTGTTACCCGCTGGGCGGGGATGCAGACAAGTCCAAGGCCGGTTGATTCCGGGAGGATCGCGGGTGAGGAGGGCTCTGTCTATGGGTGTGGATGGATGGATGGATGGATGGAGGTACGGGAGTGGGGAGCTATAAAACTGAATGAAGAAGGGATGGGTGTGGGCTGGAAGATGGAGACGAATAGCGAATGGACAAACCCTGCTGTCTCCGGCGGGTAAGGGCACACAGGCTGCAGGCTAGAGCTAGACTGCGACTGGGGCTGATGCAGAGCTGACAAGCTGGGTGCTTTCTTCTCCTCCAGCCCAGACCTCTCCTTCGTTAACAAACCAAATCCTTCACCTTGTTCCCCCACCATTCACCTGACTACAGCATCCGGGCGGGGTCTCCTTCCTTGCCCTCGCGGAGGCGGGGGGAGGGGAGGCTGGAGGGCAGTGCTGATTTGAAAGGATTGGGGTCTTTTCTGGGCCCTACTCTTTTTCAAACTCCGAACCCCTACAAAGATCAGAACGAAACCGCATTCTCTGATGACCCTCCTTTCTCCGTTCCCTGGAGGTGGTTCCACTCCACCAGCAAATACTGCAGTGGAAACTAATGGCCTGTTCGTGGTGATCTGAATCTCATTTAAATATCCCCCAAGGCATCCAGATCCTTCCCAGGTCTGCTCTAGTCCTCAGTCACCTCCAGTGCTCCTACCCGCAATCTCAGATCTGGGTTTCAACCACCCTTGTCTTCTAGGTCTGCATCTGAATTGCCAGGTAGGTGGATGTGAGAGGCTGTATCTCCTTGGTTCTCTGGAAGCCATCCTTCGTCCTCAGCACCATGCTCTCCCCTCAGCGGGCTTTACTCTGCAACCTCAATCACATCCACCTCCAGCATGTCTCCCTAGGCCTGCACTTGTCCCGCCGTCCTGAACTGCGAGAGGGGCCTCTGAGTACACCCCCGCCCCCTGGAGACACAGGGGGCAAGGAAAGCAGGGGGGCTTGCAGCGGAACCCTGGTGGATGCCAACTCCAACAGCCCAGCTGTGCCCTGCCGATGCTGCCAGGACCACGGGCCCAGCATAGAAAACCAGCAGGACCCTTCCCGGGAGGAGGAAGAGGCTGCCTCTCCTTCAGATCCGGGTTGCTCCTCCTCTCTCAGCTCCTGCTCAGATCTTAGCCCTGACGAGTCCCCAGTGTCTGTCTACTCTCGTGACCTGCCTGGTAATGAGAATGCCCACCCTCAGTCCAGCGTCTTCCCCTTGGGGCTGGGCTCTCCTCCGGCTTCAGCGGGCCCTGGCACCTGCTCTCCGGACAGCTTCTGCTGCTCTCCTGATTCTTGCTCCGGAATATCTTCCCCACCTGGACCTGCTCTGGACTCCAACTGCAACGCCCTGACCACCTACCAGGACCTACCTTCCCCAGGCTTGGAGGAAGAAGAAGACAGTGGGGAACAGGATCTTGCTACCTCTGAGCTCTCAGAGACCGAAGATGGGAGGATCGATGCAGGGAAAGCGGAGCCCAGTTGGAAAATTAACCCCATTTGGAAAATTGACACAGAGAAAACCGAAGCTGGATGGAAAACCATCGAGAACAGTGACTCTGGTTGGAAAATCGATGAAAATACAAACTCGAGCTTGAAAACGGAATCTGGGGAATTGGCTTCTTGTTTGAACACCAATTCTGGTTCGAAAATAGATGCAGGGAAAACTGATGGGGGATGGAGAGGTGACGTCAGCCAGGAGCCGGTGCCCCATCGGACAATCACGTCCTTCCATGAGCTGGCCCAGAAGCGCAAGCGGGGTCCGGGGCTGCCCCTTGTGCCGCAGGCCAAGAAAGATCGTAGCGACTGGCTCATAGTCTTCTCGCCGGACACCGAGCTCCCGCCGGCTGGGTCCCTGGGAGGTTCTTTGGCACCTCCCCGAGAAGTCACCACCTTCAAGGAACTGCGGTCGCGAAGCCGAGCCCAGCCGCCGCCAGTGCCGCCCAGGGACCCTCCGGCTGGGTGGGCCTTGGTCCCACCTCGACCGCCTCCCCCTCCCGTCCCTCCGCGGAGGAAGAAGAATCGGCTTGGGCTGCAGCCCATCGCCGAGGGGCTGCCGGAGGAGGGCAGGGCTGGCAGGGGGGCGGTGGGCGAGGAGGCCCCCGCAGCGCAGGAACGCGAGGAGCCGCGCGCACTCGCCGAGGGTAAGAAGCCCAGACCCGCAGGAGGGCGGGTCCTGAGCCCGCCCCCGCCCCTCCTTCTGCGTCCCCAAGGCCAGGGCGCACTCGGGGAAAGGGGAACTGGGTGGGTCTTGGCGGGAAGGAAGGGACTAACTCTTTCTCCCTCTTTCTCCCGCCCCTCCTTGCCTGGCTGTTGGCCCCGCTGCCCTCCCCCTCTGCACCCG